TCTTTCCCACTCTCCACATCTCCCACTCTCTCCCCACTCTCCCCACTCTTCCCACTCTCCCCACTCTTCCCACTCTTCCCACTCTCCCCACTCTTCCCACTCTCCCCACTCTCCCCACTCTCCCCACTCCCAACAAATGGACAATGAGACAGAAAAATGCCTTTGGTCATTTGAATGACCTGTTGTTTTGTTTTTAGAGGAGGAGAGACAGCCCACATAAACAGATAACCCTTGGCAAACATAAATCTTGCCTAACAAAATAAGTAAAATAAAATACAGGCTTCGTACCTCACGTAACGAAAGAACGGGAGAAAACGGGATTTGAACAAAAGAAAAGGGTTCCGCACTCCTGGGCGAAGCGTGTCTTCAAGACACATTCAATTAGCTTAGCTTTCCAAAGATACACAATTGTACAACAGGACCAGTAATCGGTACTTAAAGCTGGGGTATGTAATTTATTTCAGAAACACTTTGTGTTATATTCCATGGAATGCTCTTAACATCCCGATAGCAATGAATATATTAAATGCTTTGACAATAAATACATAAAAACATTTCATCATGTGGAAGCCGTGGCGCTGTAAAAAGCACGACCAATCCTCTGAGCCGGCTAAAGTAACTGGATGGCCTACCTGCCTGTCAGCCTTCCATCTGGGCACAAACTCATCTCGTGCCCTCATTGGTCATGTGAGCGTTCCTGTGTGTTGGAGGAGGGGCTCTGGAAGGAAGGGGCAGATTTTTTCAAATTCTAGCGCACTCGAGCTGGTTTCTCCAAAATGACCAACCCCTCCTTTAAAGACACACAGAACAACAGACCACGGAGTTGGGAGTAGGAGAGGTCGATGAGAGAGAGGGGAGAGCTTTAATGCTCCTGTCTCTTCAGGTCTTAAAATAACAATTAGTTGTCCCTTTAAACCCATTCTTGTCTTCTAGTCTAGATTCTGTAATAAAACATGTATATATTAATAACTGTTTTTATCGGGGTTCAGAGTGAAACAATAGAAAAGCCATTAAATATGAATTAATGGGGAAACCCAAATAAATCAAATCAGTGTTTTTATCATACATGTATAAGGGAAAAAGCAGTATTGTTGAAAGGTTTGAAATACGTAATTTCATTGAGTTCAGTTCAATTATAGAATGTTAAAAAAATACGAATCAGAACAATTAAAACAGGAATAATGGAGAAAGATAAATAAACAATGGGAGGGAAATTGGCACACTGTAATTGAAATGGTCGTTTAAGGGTTGCTCATTCAATCCATCCCTCTCAATGAGAATTACATTTATCCAAATGTACATGGTGCTTGATGTGAAATACAATCTCAAGTTTATATCAGAATCATTTTTCATATTATTACCAATAAGTTTACACATCGAGGAATTAGCTTTGGTGTAAAGAGTGCATTCAGAGACACAGAGAGAAGAATATGTTGGGGGGGGGGGGGGGGTTTATAAAAGAGGGAAAAATAGTACTATCATTACAAATATCTTAAAGACTATTGTAACAGATTTTAAATAAAGACAATAATATTGTAACAACCGTAATATTACAGATCAACAACACAGATACCATTCTCATTTAATTTACATTTCATTTATATATTTAATTAATTTGTTTTAATCTGAGTGTTCCAGGGTAATCTCTGAATACCTTGAAGGCCCTGACGGTTCACCACTGATATATATACATATCTATATTCTATATTCAAAGTGGCCGGTAAGATATGACTGTACTTTCATTACATTACATCACATGTCACTTGTTAGACACTTTTTTCCAAAGCGACTTAAATACTCAATACAGGAGCAATTTGGGGTGAAGTGTCTCAGGGACACAACGACATGCTGACTGCAGTGGGGTTTGAACCTGTGACCCCCCTGATCCGAACACCAACGCACAACCCACTGCGCCACACGCCTCCTCAAGACTTTCAAGAGTATATTTTCAAAATAACATTATCTTAGTAGAAGATTCCCTTTTATTCATATCACAAGACAAAAGAGCAATACCAACATAACGGTGCATTAAAGTCTGAATGTTGTCACTCAAAAATAAGAAAACAAATCTGAACCGTTACCCCTCAGATGAAGGTAAAGCCCCCCCCGTGTCGTGTCTCTCTCCTCAGCCGCTCTCCCCTCTGAGATCTCGAAGCTGAAGAAGCTGGAGACTCTGAGTCTGAACGGGAACCGCATCGTGACGCTGCCCTCCTCTCTGGGCCAGCTCAAAGCCCTGCGGACCCTCAACCTGTCGGGCAACCAGATCTCAGAGTTCCCCCCCGGCCTGGGGACCCTGAGGCACCTGGACCTGCTGGATCTGTCCAGGAACCAGATCCGGAACGTCCCGGCACACGTGTCGGAGCTGCAGACCATCGAGATCAACCTCAACCAGAACCAGGTGGGTTTCTGTTCTGTCATCTGACCCCAGATTCAAGGGAAACTTCCCCTCAACCAGAACCAGGTGGGTTTCTGTTCTGTCATCTGACCCCAGATTCAAGGGAAACTTCCCCTCAACCAGAACCAGGTGGGTTTCTGTTCTGTCATCTGACCCCAGATTCAAGGGAAACTTCCCCTCAACCAGAACCAGAACCTGGTGGGTTTCTGTTCTGTCATCTGACCCCAGATTCAAGGGAAACTTCCCCTCAACCAGAACCAGAACCTGGTGGGTTTCTGTTCTGTCATCTGACCCCAGATTCAAGAGAAACTTCCCCTCAACCAGAACCAGAACCGGGTCGTAGTGTGATGGTGAACCTTCAGTGTGTTTCCAGACAGCAGAGACTCGGGGACAGAAACACAACATTCAGTGTTTAACAACGTTTGTCGCTTTAAATGATTACTTTCCTTAGCGTTTAAACTCTGCTAAATGTCTCCGCAGAGTTATTCAAACTGAAGCATTTCATCTGAGTCTTGAGCAAACAGCACGAGTTTGTAGAATTGAGGAAACAGAAAAGTTTAAGATGTTTGAAGAAGGGTAATGCTGTTTTCACCTGGAAGACTGAAAACAGGTTGATTTGGCTTTTATTCTGTCACCTGACCCCCGATTTAAGAGAAACTTCTCCTCAACCTGAACCAGAACCAGGTGGGTTTTTATTTGATACGATAATACTTTAACGGTCAGATCAAGTCTGAAATGCTCCTTGCTTCACAGCAGCTCCATGCGTAACATCAACAGACAGATATCAAGACACAATACATGAACAACAACCATTGAACATAACAGCACGATCACTATTCTGTCATCTGACTCGAGAGACTTCCCCTCAACCTCAATCAGGTTATTAACACAAGACTGGTCCAGTCAAAATGCCAAAGTTAAAAGAGGCAAAGGACAACAAATCACAAAAGCATGACATGTTACAACGACACAGGGAACATTTTTGAATCTGTTGTTTTTATCATGCTCTGTTGCCTCTTAGTAAACTGTACGGTGTCATGAAAGGCGCCGAACATGTATTATTATTAATCTCAAATCCAGCATTCTTCCAAACATATTGTCCAGTGTTCATTTAGATAGAACCAAACTATATTTAACACGAGAGATTCCAGGGGTTTGCTCCACTTTGCAGGAAAAGATTAGACTTCCCATCCAGACTCATTACCACCAGGTGGGTTTCTATTCTGTCCCCTGACCCCCGATTCAAAGAGAAACTCTTCTCCCCCCCCCCCCCCCCCCCCCCCCCCCCCCCAACAATGATCTTAGACCTGGGGGGAAACAGGAATAACAGTCGAGCAACAGAAGGAGAAACGCTCTTCAGGAAAGAAAGACAGGAAATAGATGTCAACAGAATAACAGGAAAGTACCAAGTGTGTTTTCTTTCCGGAGCTTCGACTGAGGTTTCCAAATGAGCTTCAAGACTAAAAGGCTTTCTTCAGTGTATATGTTTGGCTCTAATCTGTATTGATTAGTCCGACTGGCTTCGTGGCTGCTTGCATCCTCTCTGTAATACGAGAGGAACTTCTCATTATACAATTTATCTACAGCGCCACGTTATGAGGGAAAGCAAACTGGTTCTTAAGTGGTTAGCAACTAAATGCTAACCAAACTAGCTCCTGCTCCAGGATCTGCACATGCACTAGCACTAGCACATGCACTAGCACTAGCACATGCACTAGCACATGCACTTTAACATATTTAAATGGAAATGGAGTAAAAATGGGAAAGCCTCTAATAGTCCAGGTTCTAGATCTTAACTAATCCAGTCTTCTTCCTCCTCCTCCTCCTCTTCTTCTTCTTCCTCCTCCTCCTCCTCCTCCTCTTCTTCTTCTTCTTCCTCCTCCTCCTCCTCCTCCTCCTCCTCCTCCTCCTCCTCCTCCTCCTCCTCCTCCCCCTCAGATCTCAGTGTTGACAGAGGAGGTGTCTAAGTGTCCACGTCTGAAGGTGCTCCGTCTGGAGGAGAATTGTCTGGACCTGTCCTCCGTGCCTCAGTCCATCCTCAGAGACTCTCAGGTGTCTCTGTTCTCTGTGGAGGGGAACCTGTTCGAGGTGAAGAACCTGCGGGACCTGGAGGGGTACGACAAGGTGAGGAACACAGCTCAGGGGAAGAGAGGGGACTCAACATCTCAACATTTTAACTTTTTCTCAAAATCCTGACTTTTTCTCTAAATTCTTAAATTTACTTTTAAAATTCAGACTATTTCTAAAAATCTCAAAATTCTTACTTTTTCTCCAAATTCTTACTTTTTCTCAAAATCCCAAAATCCGGACTTTTTCTGAATACTTAAAATTGTTAATAATCACTGGTCACCAGCTTGATCTTCAACCTCAGGATCCATGTATCTGTGATCCTCTCCAGAATGGAAGTAGTCATCACATACAGAGCATCAACTAGTTCCTGAACAGTGTCCTTCACATGCTGATATCCAAGAGAGGGAGTTACACAGTCACAAGATGGAGGAATAGAAAGCAGTATTCAATGCTCCACGTCAGAAATGAGCATGCTTGTCATATGCCTATCTCCCTAGGGGCTGTGTCATCATGTTTATCGTAGGAACATAGCTATCGTATGTTCAACACAGTGTCTCATGAGCGCCATCCATGTAATCATACATCTGGTTGCGTACACAGCTACGTAGGGCCTTTGTTATCACGTGGACTCTGATATTGGAAGAGGACATTCAGTATTTTCCCAACAGTCAACGATAACGTTTTATTGCGACAAGGTGAGGAACACAGCTCAGGTGAATAGAGGGAAGAAACTATTACCTCTACTAGTGTTGTCCTGTTGGGTCCGGTCGGCTGCATTTAATAAACAACAGTTTTATGTCAATGATAACGTTTTATGTTGCAGCCATGATAAGAGCTGGCTCCATATTCGATGTAAAGGAGCTTCAATGCTTCCTTTCTTATCTTCTTAAGCGTAGGGTACACTTAACCATTGTATACAGAAGGAGAGGATATAATGGCATCCAATAACTTCCCATAGAAAGAAAGGTTATTTATATAGCACATTTTAACAAGGCAATTCAAAGTGCTTTACAAAAATCATGAGCATCAACACATAATGCAAAAGGAAGACATTATAACATTAGATAGGTAGAGAGATGGATAGAGAGTTAGAGAGATAGATGGATGGAGAGATAGATGGATAGTTAGATAGAGAGATAGATGAATGGATGAATAGATAGTTAGAAGGATAGAGAGATAGTTAGTTAGATAGAGAGATGGATGGATGGATGGATAGATGGATAGTTAGATGGATAGAGTTTAAGTCCAGTTATCAAGAGAAGCTTTCGATCAGAGAGTTCTCTTCCAGCCAGAGGAGATTTGTTGTACAGTTTTACACTTGAAAGCAGTCATTACAAAGCCAGGAGAATCAGATTTAAACAAGCTAAAATAGAATAAGACGGGAATAAAATACTAGGCAAGTCACAGTGCAGTGTAACGTTCAAGGACTCTCAAATAGTCGTATTAATTTGTGCTGTTAATCTGCAGCCTGGCTCTCTAAAGGTCTCTGTTTCTCCCCTCAGTACATGGAGCGTTTCACAGCCACCAAGAAGAAGTTCGCCTGAAGACGCTCGAAGAAAAGTCCGACCCTCAGAGCGCCACCTGGTGGACGAGTCAGCTGCTGCCTCTTCTTCTTCTGCTGCTGCTAATAAACAGTCCTCCACACAGCGCCCCCCCCCTCCCCCACAGGTCTCTGAGCGTCAGATTCAACACGAGAGAAGAAGAAGGAGTGTGATGGTGAAGCTTCAGTGTGTTTCCAGACTGCAGAGACTCAGGGACAGAAACACAACATTCAGTGTTTAACAACGTTTGTCGCTTTAAATTATTACTTTCCTTAGCTTTTAAACTCTGCTAAATGTCTCCGCAGAGTTATTCAAACTGAAGCATTTCATCTGAGTCTTGAACAAACAGCACGAGTTTGTAGAATTGAAGAAACAGAAAAGTTTAAGATGTTTGAAGAAGGGTAATGTGTTCCCAAAATGCTGTCTAAATCTGAGAGGCTTGTTTTCACCAGGAAGACTGAAAACAGGTTGATTTGGCTTTTTAGGATGGTTATAGAAAGTTCATGTGTCCCCAACAGGCTTTTTGTGTCATTTTAGGGGCTTGTTTTCATCAGGAAACGGGTTAGTTTGACCTGAAACATTCAAACAAACCACAGGGAAAGATCTGACACCATTTTTAAATAATAACCCAAAGAAATCAGTTTCCAGTTTCTACGTTACGTGTCTCTGTTGGATTAATGATGTCAATTGTTTTCGTTTTTTACACAAAACAGGGATTTAATTAATAATTGTTAGTTAGCAGCTTGCGAACAGGCAACTGCTTGGGGCCCCGGACCAGAAGGGGGCCCCCAAAGAAGGTAGATTAAGAAGGTCCACAGCAACGACAACATGAAACACCCTTTAATTTACTGCAACGACATGTCGGGAAACCCCCTCAAGGCGGCCCCATGCACAGCACCGTAAAATGCTGCTTCTTATTTTAAGTTTTGTTGCCTTGCGCCGCTCTGGGGGGGGGGGAGAGTGTTGGGGTGCCACTGATGGTGATGAAAGCTGGTTCGAGGGGCCCCCAGTGAATTTTTGCCTAGGGCCCCCTCCCCCACAGACTCTAGAATCGCAACTGTTAGTGATGTCGATAATTGGTCCAAAATAAGAGACACTAAATTCCATTTAAGTTGATATTAAATAAGTATCCTTATGAAATAATTTAATATGGCTACGAAATAAGTCCTGAAATGGTTATTCTTTGCTGATGAAGGTATAAATAAATGTACATTATAAATATATAAATTAGTCAATATAGTAAAAATAAATAAGTATTTTTCTATTTTCTAAATTCTATTTTACAATTTATTTCAGGATTTATTTCAAAGCCTTTTCTTTTAAGTAGCAGTCGTGATTATTATGTAATATTTACTAATGCTGCGTAATGAACACAGCATTCAGAGCAACATATGCAAACTTGAATAATAAAAATACACCTTTAGATGATAGTCGGAGCAGAAGAGTGCATATTAAAACATTCAAATATTAAATCTGATGAGAGCAGCATTTACATGACTCGTGGATGTGTGATCAAATATTCAATATACTCGGTTAAAATCCCATTTTAAAGTAACAGCAGGTGGACTTTGGGGATTTAACTTTATTATACTACTTTTTCTGGTGGAAAAATACTGTGTAAGAAACGTTATAGGATCCAACTTTAACAGTATTACTTTTAATGTATTGAAAATAAAGTTTAGACAAGTTAATGACGCCCAATTATGCTTTCCTTCCCTATCCTGTAGTGTTTCTATAGGTTTGTGTGCATGCTCCAACACATTGTACATGATAGGCTAAGGGGCGGGACATCTCTAAGCTGTTGACCAATCACAACAGAGCCGGCCAGCTAACCAATCAGAGCAGACTGGGCTCTGGTTTCAGACAGAGGGTGAAAAGAGGTGCTGCAGCACAGACAGTATGAGAACAATAAAGAGCTTTTTGAAAATTAAAGCATGGAGACATGTAGAGACACTACATACTGATATACACCTGAACATCAGCAGGAGAGGACTCTTTAAAGTAGAGACACTACATACTGATATACACCTGAACATCAGCAGGAGAGGACTCTTTAAAGTAGAGACACTACATACTGATATACACCTGAACATCAGCAGGAGAGGACTCTTTAAAGTAGAGACACTACATACTAATATACACCTGAACATCAGCAGGAGAGGACTCTTTAAAGTAGAGACACTACATACTGATATACACCTGAACATCAGCAGGAGAGGACTCTTTAAAGTAGAGACACTACATACTGATATACACCTGAACATCAGCAGGAGAGGACTCTTTAAAGTAGAGACACTACATACTGATATACACCTGAACATCAGCAGGAGAGGACTCTTTAAAGTAGAGACACTACATACTGATATACACCTGAACATCAGCAGGAGAGGACTCTTTAAAGTAGAGACACTACATACTGATATACACCTGAACATCAGCAGGAGAGGACTCTTTAAAGTAGAGACACTACATACTGATATACACCTGAACATCAGCAGGAGAGGACTCTTTAAAGTAGAGACACTACATACTGATATATACCTGAACATCAGCAGGAGAGAACTCTTTAAAGTAGAGACACTACATACTGATATACACCTGAACATCAGCAGGAGAGGACTCTTTAAAGTAGAGACACTACATACTGATATACACCTGAACATCAGCAGGAGAGGACTCTTTAAAGTAGAGACACTACATGCTGATATACACCTGAACATCAGCAGGAGAGGACTCTTTAAAGTAGATACACTACATACTGATATACACCTGAACATCAGCAGGAGAGGACTCTTTAAAGTAGAGACACTACATACTGATATACACCTGAACATCAGCAGGAGAGGACTCTTTAAAGTAGAGACACTACATACTGATATACACCTGAACATCAGCAGGAGAGGACTCTTTAAAGTAGAGACATAATAGGTTTGAAGGACATGATGTTTATTTCACATCAACACATATAACGTATTAATTGTATCTAACATGTGTTCCTGTCAGCTGCATGGTTAAAATGCAAGTTTGCCTCACATAGAGACATTTTCTTAATTGTTCTTTAATACATTTCCGCATGTGTTAATGTATATGGCATATATACATTTTGGCAAGCATGTTTTAATGACTTTGGAGGTTTATTCTCAGCTCCTATAATAAAGCGTGTCCAACATAAAGACACTCTAACCCTTAAGCACAAATGTCCCGTTTAATCCATGTATCATGCTTCCTTTAATCTGGATCAGTGGCTTCATACATCCAGTTTGGGCTATTTTGATCAGATGTTGTCATTTTCGTATGTTTGCCCTACAAGGTAAATACATGCTCCTGATTGCCTGCATTAACAATAAAAATGAATGAAATAAATCTTGTTCATAATCATTGGTATATCCCAAAATGTAATAAGAAAAATACAGAAAATAATTATTAATTGTTTGTGTTTTAGTTATTGATCCTTCAATATCTTTCAAAGTAAGCCTAAGCAAGTCTTATCAATATTATGATATTAAAGGGGACCTATCATGCAAAATGCACTTTTATACACATGTGTCCCCGGTGTGTCGGGGAACTCACGGAGTGTCAGAAGATAAAACCCTCTCTCTTTTCCTCCGTACCCAAATCTCTAAAAACGGGGAACAACGGAGCTGATCCAGATTTGCGTCCGATATGACGTAATATCTGAAATGTGGACCCACGGTCCAATCAGAAACGTTGCTATCAGAAACAATGCCCGACTGTTTTGGACGTAATATGGTCGGTGTTTACATTAGCATCGCTAACACTCAGAGCTAATCTGTACTGGAGAGCATGTGTGTGAAGAAGCAGGAAGTAAAAAGGAACTCACCTTGTGGTATAACCGGCAAGAGAGAAAGCCTTTGAGCTCCAAACTGTTTCAGAGAGAATCCTTGATGATCCATGATATGGCGTTTCATCACCGCAGTATTTAGTTTAGACAGTAGCTTCTTTTTTTTAAAGCTTTATACCCCAAATCAGCACTTTTGAAACAGGAAGTGAAATAGAGGGATATGAGGCATGGCTATGGACTTCATAGACATGTTTTTTTATATATTTGTATAAATCTGAGACCTATGCTATTGCCTACAAATAGCATGATAGGTGACCTTTAATGTACTGATGATATTGGAGCTCAGTCTGTGCACACAAAAGCATTTTACTCTGGGCTCAGCAGGTGAGGAACTATGAGGGGCTTTCACATGTTCAAGGTTCAAGGCTTTTATTAGTCATGTATACAGTAGCTACAGTTTAGTTATGACGATGACAATCTTAGGTCACAGGCTCCTCCAACAGAGCAACACAATAAAACTGACAAAATAGTGCAAGTAAATATAAAAAGCTAAATAGTGAAATAGTGCAATAAGAGTCTATATACAAGTGATTGGAATATGATATATTAGATAAATCCTTTCTAAGTTGCAGCCAGATGAATGTTATGGATGTTGTTTAAAAAGTTCAGGTGTTTAATAGTGTTGGTAGGTGAGGTGAGAAACTAAAGAGGGGCTTCCACATGAGGCAGACCAGGTGTTGGTGCTGCCGGATTTGGCACCTCCACTATAACTTTGTCCAAGAGCAGGGGGGTCCAAACTTTTTTCACAGAGGGCCACATACAGAAAAATATACTAAGGGCTGGGCCGCTCGCTAGAGGAGAGGTTTATTGCCTCATAAGTTCAGTTATAAGTTGGACAATCAAAGGTAAATGATGCTTGTGAGTGTTGGCAGCTCATTCCTTAAAACAGAATCCTCAGATTGATTATAATAAGGAGAAATATGAAGAGTGTATTTCAAGCTTGTGATAGAAATAAGTCATTGGACTTTTTTCTTATCAACAAAGATTGGTTAGAAAATGTTTCCAACTTGAATTGACTGCATTTATTTGAAAAGTGCTCTTCTTAACACATTAATACTACTGTGTGATATATGTTTACATTCATATTTATGAACTACAATTCAAGCCAAGCACAAGTTTAATTTGTGGGCCATATTACATTATACATTTTTTATTTGCTGAGGGCCGATTCAAAATGGGGCCACATTTGGCCCCCGGGCCGTAGTTTGGACACCCCTGTTTTAGATAGTCGTACTGTCACCAAAATCACACAGGTGACTGGTTTCTGTGACAATCCATAACTTTTTCATAAAATATATAAAAGATCATGATTTCATTTTGAAGGCCTCACTTCCGGTGTGGTCGGTTCTCAACATGTGTAACTTGACGTCACTTTATCAGAGTTAAGCAGCAGCAGCGGAATGTGTGGAAGTGTTTGCAGTTTGATAACAAACTCTACATGAACTTTTCTGAGGATTTATCTCCTAAAACAAACAAAGACTGCCCTTTTTTATCTCTAAATCGCTCTGCTTTAACGAATCCTCTTCCTCCATGAATTCAGTGTTTAATCCTGCGAACTGTTTGCCACCTCCAATCTGGCTCTTTTCTCCGATGGAAACCCTGTTTTTCAGCTGGAAATGAGGCTTAAGTGACGAAGGAAAGGACGACCGAGCCGAGTTGAACCCTTATTAATGTGAGCTGCGGTTTAAGAAGATCCACGGAAGGAAATAATGAGAATTTAAAAAATGTTTCTGTGGATTTTACTGCTTTTACTCAGGAGTCCTGAAGGCACCTGTGGAAATGGTGAGTGTTAATTATAAATTCTGATTATGCATGTGTTTTGATCTACATTTATACAAGTTAAAACTGTGGTTGAATGTGTGGGCTACTTTTTTTGTTAAGTTTACAATGCAAAACTCCATTAGGAATATTGCATTTTTAGGTTTTATAACCTTTCAGAGAATTTCTACTTCTATAAAAACATATTTTAAAACATATAATGAATATCAACTAGCCTCCCTTTCATTCGGCATACACCTAACATGCCAAGCAGCACTTTATCTTGAGTAATAGCCACTTTTGTACTGTTATACCTGTAGCCTCTTCTAGTTAAAATGCACTGCAGCGGGTTGTTTTTTAACTGCATGAATGAGTAAACAACCTTAAAATATAATTTATAACTTGCTTATTAGTGCATGGTATGTATGCCGAATTAACCAGGAGACTCGTTATGAAATGATAGTGAGGAATACATGTTTGTAATTGTAAGGAAACGAAACAAAAAAGCACCATTTTAATAGTTTGTTTTTTTCTAATGGAGTTTGGTGTGAGGACTATCCGCAGTTAAACAGCTCTCAACTGTTACTGAGGGACCATGTGGGAATGTGAGCCTCACACAGCCCTTATTATCACACCAATTACAGTCAATCAATGTAATCATCACTCTTTGTTTATGACTCACTGCGACCTTTCAATAACAACACATCTTTATTGTTGGCTTCGAGTTTGTGTTGCAGCACAAATGACAGAATAGAGCAGGAACATACAGAACAACTGTAAACAGGACATGAAATATAAATGGGTTACATTCAGGAAACATTTTGACACCTGAATGTGACTTTTTTGACTTCCACCCTTCATGTTGTAACTGTGGATGAATGTCATTACAAACCACCTGCAGTGAGGAGGTCAAAAGTCACATGACCTTCACCTCGGACAGTGATTTGTAGAAAAAAGTTACAAAGGATAATAAAGAAAACAGATAAAATAACATTATAAAACATTAAAAATATAATTTAAATGAAGACACAACTAGCATGGTCACTGTGTGTTTGCAGCTGCAACACACACACACACACACACACACACACACACACACACACACACACACACACACACACACACACACACACACACACACACACACACACACACACACACACACACACATTGAGCAGCTGCAGTTGTTTTCAGTACCAACACAGGAGCTGTGTCTCAGTTCTGTGACAAATTACCGAGGAAAAACTTAAAATGTCAACTAAGCTGTTAATGCTGCTATCCCACAATGCATTGCACTGAGGACACATGCACGATGTTAAAATAATAAGTAGATGGAGATGTACCACAGTGTGTTGATGCAACAAACCAATGCTCACTCAGTTTCTAATTATACCAATTAAATCTCCCCTTTTAGAAGATGTGTTTATGTTGTTATGACACATTTTATAGAGGCCAAATCATTCCGTTTTTACCAGAATTACAACAAACATCCCTTTTTATCTTTTACAAAATCAACATTATTTGTGTTTTCCTTATATTCATATATTTTCTCATCTCAATGAAATGAGAAATCACCAGTTCAGTGTTTAATGCGTGATGATGTCATCGTTGGAGGGAAGTGATGTAACCGTCGGTTGGTGGTCATGACCTCATCCCTCTCTGTGATGAGGCGTTCACGGGACGTCAGAAATCTTTGGGACGCTTTATTTTTTTGGAATAGAGAAACTATGAATGAACTTCGCTTCAAATCAGAGACACAGGGTGTCAGGATTTAATACATTTAGACTGGAGCTCTCTTTAGTGCACCATGCAGCCAATAGTCAAATATGTAGTTTCATGTCATTTGTTAGACGCTTTTATCCAAAGCAACTTACATACATTCAGTACTGCAATCCCCACAGGAGCAATTTGAGGTGAAGCGTCTCAGGGACACAACGGCAAGCTGACTGCAGTGGGACTCAAACTTGCTATCCTCTGATTCGAAGATCAGCGCACTAACCCACTGAGCCACAGCCTCCCTGGTCCCCTAGTTCAATCCCAGATTTACAATTGAGGTTATGAACATATTGTCCTTAAGTGAGTTTAATGTTATGACTATAATATAATCCTTTATTGTCATTATACAGGTACAATGAGATGAGTAGAGCTACTGCTTTTTTTTAAGGTGCCATCAAACAAACACAAGCATTGATACTTCAATACGCAGATACAGTTAAAGTGCAGGACTATATCGTTTATGTTGAATACTGTCTGTTGGCTTGTTAAATATTGGTCCTCGTTGATTTTGCAAACGAAGCTGCTGTGATGCAAGAACACAAGAAGCATTACCTAATTGTAAACTGCAAAGCTTTGGATATATATAATGTCTAATGTCCACCATAGTGTCTCTGGAGAAGAGCTGCAAACAGTCGACTTTTGATGGCATTCATTCAATAATTGAAAAAAAAAAAGTGATTTCCCCCCTGTCGCCCCCCCCCCCCCCCTCAGGTGTGATCTTCACGAAGCACCCTGTGAACCAGACGGTCTCTCAGGGGAACGCGGCGCGGCTGGGCTGTGCCGTCCAGGGTCTGACGGAGCCCGACATCGTGTGGATGAAGGACGGAGAGAAGCTGTACAGCACGGACCAGATGTTCATCACTCTGGGAGAGCAGCACTGGGAGACCTACCACAGGTGCTACCTCCATAGATACATACATCTACCTGTATATCAAATAATCAGACGATTTATACATTGATGGAAGCAAGATACTCTCAAGAAATTCGGGTCTGATAACAGTAAAAGTCCCAAAGCTGCTTCAAAATAAAACTCCTCCACTTGCTTAATAGATAAAGTCCTCAAGCAACGTCATAATCAAAGTCAGAAAGCTGCTACCAATACAAGTCCTCATGTTGCTTCAGATTACAAATCTGATAGCTGATGCATATGAAGTTTCCTAAAGACATTTCAGAATAATAATCCTTTTTTATTGTCACGACGTAGTACAGGTACTAGTAACGGAACGGTTTCTCTGCATTTGACCCATCGTAGAGTTAGGAGCAGTGGGCTGCCATTATGTGCGGCGCCCGGGGAGCAGTGTAGGGAACGGTGCCTTGCTCTGGGACACCTCGGTAACTTGAACTGAACTGGTGACCTTCCAGTTGCCAAGCCAAGTCCCTATGGACTTCGCCACCACCGTCCTGGAGTTACTTCATAGTAAAACGCCTACAAGCTGCTTCAAAATAAAAGTCAAAAAGCTTCTACACAATAACGGCCCGTCCACACTACAGCTTCGACAGCTTCAAAAACGGTTTCCAACGCGTCTGCCCATTCACTTTGAATGGGGTGACGTCACGTTGCCTCGCTTTTCGCCGAACTGAATTGTGGGTAGCATAGCGGAGCGGTCCGTCTCCGTTGAACATTGTTCAACTTCTGACGCCGGAGACGCCGGAGTAGCCAGCGCCAGCCAATCAAATCCCGTTTCTGAAAATCTGACAGCTCAAGCCGTAGCCAATCAAACCGCGTCTAAGCTGGGAGAGATATCCTGCCGTTCATTTCTATATTTCAAAAAAAGATGGAGGAGAAACTAATTATCGTCGTAGCAAATCACCCGGTTTTGTATGAGCAGACCCTCTTCACCTACCGGGATACAAACCGGAGGAACCAGGCATGGAGGGAGGTGGCAGAGACAGTGGGTGAAACTGGTAGGTTTTCGCCTGTTTGGGGAGTTATATATATATATATATATATATATTGCTCGCATAAAATCCCCGGGGGTATTTGCTTTGTATGTCGGGGGCGGGAGATTCATGTGATTGGTTGTTGGTCGCGGTGCTCGAATAAAATCCCCAAGCTTCAGACACGCTCAGCTCCAAGCTTTTTTTGAAGCTGTAGTGTGGACGCTCCGTTAGATTCCTCCAGTTGCTTCATAGAAAAAACCCTAGATCCACTTCACAGTCCTAAAGCTTCTTCAAAATAAAACTCGTCCACTTGCTTAAAAGTCCTCCAGGTGCTTCATGTTAAATGCTAACTCGTTCCTGTGTTTAAGGACTCATTCATTCACCACTCCATTACAGCGTGTTTATCTGCACTCTGAGGTCATCTGGTTTCCTTGGAGAGTCACTTCCCGCTCACGCTGCCTCAGATCCTCAGTTTCCTGTTAGCTGCTTTCTTTACGGTGTGTTCAAGTGCAGCTTTGTGTCCGTGAATCAGACGTCGTCCTCACCATTTCTTTGAAGCTGGTTTGCTGTGTCTGGAGTTTCAGGTGTTTCTGTTTCGGCTCTGTTTGGTGGTTCAACAGCTCATAGACTGTAAATACAGGCAGCAGCTGCTTTGATGAATGACTCCTCTTCCTCCTCTTCCTCCTCCTCCTCCCCCTCCTCCTCCTTCCCGTCAATCTAACCCCCCCCCCCCCTCATTATCTCCTGACTCTTTCTCCCAAGGACACATTCAGACTTATTTTTACACAACATTGTGAAAATAATCTTAATCTTGCATCAGTGTTGTCAAAAGTCTGTACAATACTTTGCTTCAACATCCCTTTATTTGTTACATAATTATTATTTGTATTATTATAATTTACACCGGACAGAAGTATAAAACAATACAAAAATATAATGACCCTTTGCACATTAAAGCATATGAGGATGAAAGGACCCCTTTAAGATAAATAATATTAAAGTAAGTTTTGCAAAAGGGTTAGGTTTGATCTCTGCAACGTTTTTACCGGTATTGGATTATGGTGCTTTATATGAATGCCTCTGACCAGTGCCGAAAGAGTTTGGATACTGTGTACAATTGTGCCTTAAGTTTTGTTACTGGATGTGGATATCGAGTACACCATTGCACTTCATATGCTGCTGCTGCTAATTGGCCATCTTTGTCTGCTCGCAGACTTTCCCATTGGTTGGGTTTTATTTATAAATCTCTTGTTCCCTTTTACATTTGAAGAGAAAGTCTATATGGCCTGCGCTCCCAAGATTTCATTCAGATGCTGGTTCCTAACGTAAGAACAGAACTAGGTAAAACAGCTTTTAAATATGCTGCCCCCACAGCTTGGAACAATGTACAGAAGGAGCAGATTTGATCACCTTGGGGGAATTCAGGTCCATCTTAAAGGACAGAGAACACGACCCCATTGGTTGATGTGAGTGCTCGTATGTCAAAAATTGAAGTCGTTTTACATTTTGCCCGTTTTTAATGATTTTTAATAGTTTATTTTATTTTGCATATTGATTGGCTGATGTGCCATTTAATTTGTGTTTTACAGCTGTATTCCTCTGCCTGTCTTGTCTGTGTTTGATCTGTTGTAACGTTGTTCATGCTGCCCTCTTGGCCAGGTCGCTCTTGGACAATAGATTTTAATCTCAATGAGACTTTTACCTGGTTAAATAAAGGATATATATAAAAGCCAATAAAAATGAACTAAAAAAATTACAATCAAAATATATATTTGAATTGAAATATATCTGACAGTATTATAATATTAAATATGTACAATCTTGATTAAAATAAAGCATTTTTGCAGTTTTTAAAGTAGTATTTTAGGGCATAAATGTGCATAACTGTTCATTCATTTTTCAGGTATGAAAGGGTGTATTCAGTGTTTCATATAAAATGTTCTTACCCAGCTCTACGAGAGTCGACGGAAGTTTTCTTGGTTTAGTGTTTCAGTATTTGTGACATAACCTTAAATGTACAAAGTGAAATCTTGATTACACATATCGTAGATCAATCTGTGTGAAACCTGTTTAGTGTGCAGGTGTCGACACGCTTTATTATTACGAGTTATTATTGTCATCAGTGACTCAAACACCACGAGGGGTTCAGCAGCTCTCAGAGGCCTCAGCTTTGACGGCTGATTTCAGGATCAGCCGTCTTTATTTAAACAGCCTGAATGCTGCCTGAGAATCTGACCTCAGATCTGTGCGGCTCAGCCAGCGGCGGCTGATTAATCCGCTTTACTCTCAGATTCCTGAAGGAACAGGAAAAGGGAAATTGGAGGTCAGAGAAACGGTCACTTTACAGCTTCCTGGTGTTACTCCTGATCTGAGACCTTTAAAGACCCTCAAGACTTATGTTCGGAGGCAACAAAGATATTATGTGAAACAGGAAGTTAGGTATTGTAGTTGTTCAGCAGAAACCAGGGAGGAGATTAACAACTCTCATAACTGGTGATACGTTTCTTGGAAATACTTGGAAAAGCAAAACTAATCCACTAAAGAAATGTCAATAAAGACAAACGGGTTAACCCTTCTAAAGCTTTTGTAATTAAGTTATAACATTTATAATAAATGTTCTAATAAGTAATCATTATCCTGCTGTAACTAAGAACCCATTTACATGGGAACGTTTGCGTTTACGCACCAAATTCGTTTTCAAAAAAGTCTTCTGTTCACACGCATTCGGCCCATTTAACGTGTCCGTTCACACGAGACCACTGGAAACGCTGTAGTAGATATGCCGGGCCTGTAAGTGGCGCTGTACTTTCGCCACAAAATACACCAAAAGCAGTGGAGAGGCGGGGCTAAGCAGCGAAGAAGACCCCCGAGCATAGTTGCCATGGTTTCCCTTCTGTTCATGCCCCGTGGTGGATTTAGCAACATGTAGTTCATGTAGTTCTCCATGTCCACTTGTTGCTGATGGTTGTGGTAGAGGAGCTGTAGATGTTGCACTAACATCTGTAGCATGGTCAGTAGCAGTAGCAGGAGCTAATGACAGTAGCTACTGACCATGCTACATCAATGAGCAGCTGAGGTGTGGAGAGGTGGGGCTATGGCTTAATCGTTATCAGGAAATGATCGTATAGGGCAGGGGTGCCCAACCAGTCGATCGTGAGATGTGTCTAAAAATAGAACAACAACATTCTGTTTTATCGTTAATGTCCTGTAACATAATGTTCCTGTGCCAGAATAATGCACTTGAACGCATCAAAGCTTTGTGATTGGCCGGCGTGACCCCATGTGTCGGGGCGTGGCTAGTGGGCACTATTTCGCTGACGTTGTCCGTGTCAACAGGAGTGACAGTCCGCACACACACAAGACCGCAATTATGGCAGAAGCAAAAAAGCCCAAAATATATCATTTTCACTCCGAGTGGGAGGATGATTATTTTTGGATCTATTCCAATTCAAAGTCCATCTGTCTCATCTGCAATGCGAGCGTGGCTTTATCGAAGAAGGGTAATTTAGGAGCGGCATTTCAAAACAGTGCACAAACGCTACGAGACGGAATTCCCTCCTAATTCTGCCCTACGCTCCAAAAGGGGAGGGGCCTGAAAGGACAGCTAAATGCACAGCAGTCCATTTCCACCAGGCCCAACAACAAGAGCAAGGCTGCTACCAGAGCATCTTATCGTGTCAGTCACGTTCTTGCGAAACACATGAAGTCTTTCAAAGATGGCGAAGTTGTGAAATAAGCTTTCCTGGAGACTGCCGACACGCTTTTGGGGACAGTAAAAATAACAGTTGCATTTCAACAGGTTTTTGATATAATAAAAACTCAAGTTAGATACCGTTATTAATCAGCTGTAAGTTTTAGTTTGTTTGAACTTATTCATTATAATTATTGTACAAAATGGTATAAGAATGCAAACATTAAGATCCTTTCTGTTTAAATTGATTATAGTCTATTATCAATTCAGGTTAAGAAACTAGTGTTGCTTGCATCCTATTTTAAAGGCATTTATTTTTATAT